TTTAAAAAAAAAAAAAACACAGCAGTGACGGTAATACAGGCATATTGACTCTTTCAGTTCTAGTGTGCCAATACGTGACAAACAAGCATCAGATGAAGTCTAAAATGTCACATTGTTACTTAGTGATATTTTGGAGAAACGATACTTCCATGATTTGTCAACACCCTTGAGATTTTGATTGTTTTCCGTCTACAAAACGTTTCCCGAAATTCCACTACAATTCCATTGCAATTCATTCATGGCCATATTCTGCTGTGTTTACTTATTGGTCATAGCACTGGCGGTTTCAGTGGCAGAGTAGAAGGTCCCTAGACTTAAAATAAAGTTAATTCGCTTTGTTACGGCTGTTACCAGCAATTACTTGTGTTTGGTTTCCCTGGTGGATCAATTGGTTAGTTAACTCGAACAAAAGAATCCTCTTATCGTGTCCTTCACTGCTTGCCTCACTTCCCTCATCTTCCAACAGTACAGAAATGGGTTAAGAGATGAGTTTGACAAGACGAGCGAAAATGTTACACACATAGCGAGGTAAAGAGATGGTGTAAGCAGTCCAGTGACAACAAAAACTGCTGTTGTTAAGCCGAATGGGACATAAGAAACTAGACAAACGGTTTGCACCCATAGTGCACTGGACAACGTCTTCTTGTATCGTGCAATATTGATTGGAATTTCTCCGGTCAGTTGTTGTTGGTGGACATGGTCTCGCACTTGAGTTTGATGTTCGCGAAGTATGAGAAATATTTTCGAGTAACAAGAACTTGAGATTATTATACACAACAAAAGCTCAATGCAAATGAGAGTTAAAAAGATGTCGGCGTTGTGAAATAATACGACCGAAATCAAAACATTAAGAAGCCAAAGAGAAGCAACAAGAACCCAGACTCTCTTCAAAGTTACCACCTGTCTGTATCGCAGTCCCAACATCAGGGCGAGAAGTCTGTCCACACTAATTGCAGTCATTGTCAGCAGTGATACGCCACAGAAAATAGCACCGATACCATGCACAAGTAACTGAACATAATAGCAACGTTTGTAGTGTTCAGAAGACATTAAGTTGATAGCGAAAAGAGGTTGAATAATAAGACCCACGCAAAGGTCAGTGCTCGCAAGGCAACCTAGCAAAAGCTGAGATGGTGGATGAAGGGACGATGGTTTTTGAAGA